ACAAGACAAAACCAGTTTCTGCACTTCTGAGACTTATAACTAGTTGGCAACACGAACTCGACAGAATCCCAGGTGAGTACTCAAATTGAGAAGTACCCAGACAGAGGATGTACGGCTATAGTGATGTACAAAACTCTGCTCTAGATTTCATGCTGGCTCAGGTAACATTGGTGCAGATACTAGAATGAAGGGTAGAAGCTCACTGGGCAAAGCCACGGAGCTTCAAGGAGAGGACACAATACATACAAAGACATGGAGGCAAGAAAGAAAGCTGGTTTATTCACTGAACCAACCAAATGAAACAGGTGTGGAATTATTTAGGCATCTTATTGTGTGACACAACCCAAGACGAGTCTTGATGAAATCTTATGATTTAATACTGTGTTAATCATAAAGTGCAGGCTGGATTCCATATAGTCACATTCTTTTTAATATTACTAACTCCTTCACCAGCACCTCTAGGAAATAACTTTGCTCCAACAAGTATCTGGATGTTGATAGATCCTCTTATTGGACTTCTTCCATCTGTCTCCCTGGGTCCCCTATTCCTGACTCTTTAAGGTTGAGTTTTCTATAAACTAACCCACTTTTCCTTCCTTATCAAGGCATATGTGGTGGCATAAAGGGGCCACTATTATGATAGGAAGCACTCCATCTCTCCCAGAGAGTAAAGAATCAGATCCAGCCAGAGAGAAAAAATAAAGGTCATTCTCTACCTCCAGCTCAATGTCATGGAAGGTTGCCAATGAACATTCCCACGGGACATGTGGCTCTAAAAGGAAGGAATTAGGGGATCACAGATGTATCTAGAAATCAGTCCACTTTCCACCAATGTGGCTCAGAGAAGCTAGATGATTTGCTCTGTCTCCTGCGAAAAGAAAAGACTAGGCCAGTTTTCAACCCCAAGATGTGGCTTGTGACTTCAGAATTCCCCAAATGTTTCTGATATTACATAGCTATCTTCAAAATAAACAGAATAGGAAGCGTGTCCCAACTGTATAAATTTGAGACATGCTGAGTTCAACAAAGCAACCAGGTTTTTTTTCCATTACTGCAGAACTTCTCAGAGCCTTGGTCTACTGATATACACAGTAACTTTCTAAGAGGAGATTATAGAGTTTGCAGGGCTTCCAGAACTCAATTCGAATTGAGGACACATTGGTCCTAGGTAACTCCTAGCATCTAGAACCCACTGTGGAAAATACCACGTTAACTATCCTGTGACTTTATAAGCATTTTTGTCCTTATATCCAGAGAAAGATCAATCTGTATATTTTAGACAGCTGAATGCATTCTCCTCTTTCTGAGCCTTTCCACCACCACCACCACCCCCACCTTGATGTCATTGTTGGGATTTTTTCGAGACAGAGTCTCACAATATAGCCCAGCTTGGCCTCCAGTTTACAATTTTCCTATCTTAGCCTCCTGAGTGCTAGGATTTTAGGTATACATTACCATGTCTGGTTTTGACCCTTATCTTTACTTTCTACCACAGGGAACAGCAAATTTCATTGTAAAGAATGAGATAATAAGATAGTAAATATTGTGGCCTTTGCAACATTGCTACAGCACCACGCACACGCACACGCACGCGCGCGCACGCACACACACACACACACACACCATCCCTTCCTTTCCCCTCTTTTTTTTTTTTTGAAACACTATGTAGCCCAGGCTGGCCTTGAACTCATGGTGGTCCTCCTGCCTCGGCCTCCCAGGTGCTGAATTACAGGCAAGCACTGCAATGCTCAGCACATTCTCTTTCTTTGAAATATAAAAATCAAGTCAGGTGCAGTGGTACACTCCTGCAATCCCAACAGTCTAGGAGTTTGAGGCATGAGGATCAAAAGTTCAAGCCTCTGTCTGGGCAAATTAATGATTTAGTGAGATCTTATCTCTAAATTAAAAGGGGGACTAGGGATGTAGCTCAGTGCAAAGGTCCTGGATTCAATATCCAATACTACTACCACCACCCCAAAAAAGAAGTTAAAACCATTTTAGGCTCTTTGACCAAGAAAATCAACTAGAAGGAAGGGTAGGGGCAGGATTTTGGCTTGAGTCATAGAGTCACACTTAACAGTGTCCACCGTGTCCATGTAAGGGGTGAGGAATCTACCAGATGTTTTGCATTTTGTTATTTTTTTAGTCCTCCTAAACCACCTTAGAAGATGGACACCAAGTGTCTTCCCCTTTCTAGAGAGAAGCTGATGTCCAGAGAAAGAAAATTAAAAACTTTGTGACCCAGTAACCAGGGGAGATTGAAATGGAGACCCTTACATGCCTGTCATGAAGAAAGCCTACCAGGTGTAATGCTTAGGATAAAATATGCTAAAACTATAGCATAAAGCACCTCTACTGTTTTTATTAGGCAAGAGTTAAAAAGCAATAGTTTGAGGGGTGCAGATATAGCTCAGTGGAAGATCACCTGCTTAGCCAGTCCTTAGTGAGCATACACACAGCACCACCACCACCAAAAACAACCAACAAACAAAAAATAGTACCAGAGTTTGAAGAGAAGACCCAGGTATTTAAACAAAGAAAGAGAGAGAGAGAGAGAGAGAGAGAGAGAGAGAGAGAAATGAAGGGAAAGAAAAACTCTCAGTTATTGGATCCCAAAGCTAAATTGTAGAGCACATTTGCATTACATATCCACTTTTTTTTCATACAAGGGACTAAACCCAGGGCCTTCACATTGAACTGTACCCCTAGTGCTTTTATATTTTTTAGACAGGGTCTCACAAATTCCCTGGGTTTCCATCCGTCAGTCTCAATCTCCTTAGAGTGCTAGGATCACAGATACATGACTCTACACTGAAGTGATTTTTGTTTATTTGTTTGTTTTGCTAGGTAGATTGTTGATTTGGATGCTTGGAAAGGGGCTGATAGAAAATATGAAATAAAACTTCCAAACCAACTGGGCATAATGGCTCACACCTATAATCCTAGCACTCTGGAAAGCTGAGGCAGGAGGATCACAAATTCAAACCCAGCCTGGACAATTTAGCAACTTAGTGAGATCCTGTCTCAAAATAAAAAAATGAGTCAGGGATGAAGGCTCAATATGAGGGTCCTGGGCTCGATTCTCAGCCCTGCAAAAACAAAACAAAAACAGAAACCACAAACATCCTAACAGTTCCATCGGTTTATTTGTGCTATAGTTACTGTAGACCAAGGTTAGTGTCAATGACTTTTCAGGGACCCTCTTATTGGTCCCCAACTAGTACCATGAATAAGGTGATAGTCATTATACGTCAAGAAGGGTGCTCCATCAGCCTGGTTAACTTGCTTACCTGCTCAGTGTCACTTAGATGATAAAGGATGGAATCACAGTACAAGTGTCCCAAAGGACTCCTTGGCCCAAAGTCATAGCCTGCTTCGATATATCCTACTGACTCAAACCACTGAGCAGTGTGCTCACCGTCAATTTCTTGCAGTTTCATTCTTAAATACATAAGCATTAGGTTGTTTGATAAATGTTTCTCATGTTAGTTTTCATTAAGTCTCTGAATGATTGATTTCTTGCGTTCTGCTTACCAGAGTTCAATATTTGAGTCACAATTCCTTTTGGTTCTTGGCTCAGAAATAAACTCACATAAATATGCTCAAATGATTTTTGACAGGCCCAGAACAATTCAATAGAGGTAAAAATAGCTTTCAAAAATGGTGACCAAGCTAGGCATGGTGGTGTATGCCTATAATCTCAGCATTTGGGAGGCTGAGGAAGGAGGATCTCCCCAAGTTTGAAGCCATCCTGAGCTACGTCATGAGTTGAAGACCAGTCTGGACTACATGCTACAACCTGTCTCCAAAAATTAATTAATTAATTAAAATTAAAATTAAATTAAAAGGGTTGAGTTTGTAAGTAGCTTAGTGGTAGAGCACTATTGGATTTGATTCCCAGTATTGCATAAACAAACCCAGGCATAGTAGTATATACCTATAGTCCCTGCATTTGGGAGGCTGAGGCAGGAGAATTCAACACCCACCTGGGCTACATCATGAGACTCTCTCTCAACCAAAATAATAAAAAAATAAAACAGGTCTGGGAATGCGGCTCAGTAGTGTATTGCGGGCTTCACAGACATGAGGCCCTGTGTTCAGTCACATGCACACATGCACGTGTACTCATACACACACAATCTCAAAGTAAAAGGTTTTGTTGTTACTGCTTTTTTTTTTTTTTTTTTTTTAGTTCTTTTGAGTTCCTGACCCAATATGGTTCATTTTGTGGGTTAAAGTGCATTGCCATTTATTCATTTACTAAGATCTCACCTGATAATTTTTAACAAGGCCTATATCTTGCAGAAACTGGGCTAAGTGCATTCTCTTTAATAGAACCTAGGGTAGAGGGGCTAGGGATTTAGCTCAGTGGCATAAGCACCTGCCTGGCAAGTGTGAGGTTGTGAATTCGATCCCTGGTACTGAAAAAAAAAAAAACTAGGGTAGAAGGGACCACTATTATTATATTATATCTCCATTTAATAGATGAGGAAACCAAAGTTCAGCAAAGTGAAGTCATATACTCCAATCCACATAGTGATTAAGAGTCAAGAACAAAACCAGAGTCTTTTAGTCCAGGCCCACCACACCCATAACCTCCGCAGTACACCTCCTCTCTGATTAGATGCCATATGGCTTTGGTCTTTGTCCTTGACTAGCCTTGAACCTGAGATAAAGGTCAAAGTTTTCCTTCTGCATCATTTCTCTGGGTTTCCTTAGACTATATCTATTCCCAACTCGAAGTAATTCCTAATGCCACCACTTGCCAGGCGGTGTGGTCTTAGAGAAGTCGCATCTCTCTAAGCTTCAGTTTCCACTCTCTTAAATCAGAGCTTGAAATTCCAGCATTGTTGGTGGATCAAATGAAGTAATGCATTTCAAAGAGCTTTGGACACTCCACGGGGAGCAGTTATTATTAATAACAGGGAACCATGAAGTAAATTCTAAATATAGGCCACTCCAATTTATCTTCTGGTTTGATGGTAAATGCTTTGAAGCCTTGAGCTGGCAGTTTTTCTTAACCTCTCCTTTCTACAGTGCTTCCCAAAGTGGCAGTTTTTCTTTTTAAAGTTCTTGGTAGCTATGGTGTTGGTAGAAGTGGGATCAAAATAGAAAACAACAACAATGCAAAGTATTGATGGTTAAAAGGCAACTTTGCTCTTTAACTTTACTTTTCTTGTAAATTATGAAGAGAACTAAGAATGGTCACAGTCAAAAATTATCTCCTAAATTGCCTGCTCTACAACCCCAGGTAACTCCTTATTTTTTTAAAAACTCCTTATTTTTAAATTGGAAGTATGGGTTCTATCTTTTCAGTGGTTATGGGAGAATGTGAAATTTGCAAAGTACTTTAAGGTACAAGGTGTTCTTGCTATTTTTACTAGCCAGGATTTGTAGTTGTTTTGGGGGCAAGATTTTCCCACTTAAAGCAACCTTTTCTCTTGTCTCAGGGCAAACTTGCAGACATACAAATTCCTCAGCTTTATTACTAATGCCAATAACATGGACTTTAAAAACTGTCTTTCATCTCTGCATCTTAAGCAGCACTCCAAATAGTAATTAAAGTTCAACACCCTGGTGAGGGAGGAGGCATCTATTATTCAATCCATTTTCCAAACAGGTATTCCCAGACTTACAAATTAGAGGTCTGCCCATAAGTCACCATGGCCTAGATGAGGCAGGAGGTAGAATCAAAAATTCTTGACTTCTCAGGTGTTTGATTTGCCTAGATGTGGGGTAGTAAGAGCCTGCGGGCGACAAAATGGAAATGCCCTCAGAGTAGGCATTCACTGAGGTGCCGCAATCTAGAGGAATCAGAAAAAAAAATTTCTTTTCAATAATATAATGATGAAAGATTCAATGACACAAGAAAAGGAAGGAGGGGGGATGAAGGAGGGAGGGAGGAAAAGAGTGAGAAGGAAAAGAAGTACCTCAAATCTGTCAGAAATAAAAACACTATAAATCTATTTGACCCATAAGTTTGGTTGAAGATAGTGGGAATGTAATTGAAAGAGTAATATGCTTAAACTGTCTGATTTTCAAAATATAGAGTAGGGGGGAAAAGCTTTTTCTTAACTTTAATGCTTGAAATAATTATGAACTCGAAAGAAGTTCTAAAAATAATATAGAGAGGTTCTGTGTACCTAAGCCCAACTTTCTCCAGTAGTAGAATCTCACATAACTAGAGTGCATTATCAAAACCAGGAAATTAATTGGCACAATATAATTAATAACACCATACACCTTACTCAGATGGTTTCAGTTTCAGAATCATCACGCTTAACATTTTGTTTCACGCATAATGTGCACAAATTTTAAGTATACATCTTGCCATAATTACACTGAATATCTCTCAAAAGTCCATGAGTTAAAAAGCTTGGTCCCCAGGGTGGCATTATTAGGAGGCAGAGGAACCTTCAAGAGATGGTGCTTAGTGGAAGATACTTCAGTCGCTGGGACTGTGTCTTTTCTTTTTCTCTCTTGCTGTCTGACAAGGTAGCAAGAGAGGTTGGCAAGGCTTTGCCATGCACTCCCTGCATGACTTGCTGCCTCATCAGAACCCAAAGCAATGGGACCAAGTTATCCTACACTGAAAGTCGAAAACTGTGAGCCAGAATAAGCCTTTTCTTTCCATATTATCTCAGCTATTCCATTATGGTAACAGAAAATAAACTGCCTGATGCAGTTTTATTTATGTAAACACACATGTAACTACCATCTATATCAAGATATCGAATATGGATTCTCCTTCTCCTCCAGATGTTTCTTCTTTCCTCCTCCTTTCTCTTCCTCTTCTTCTTTTCCTCCTCCTTTTCCTCCTTCTGCAATGAGGATTCAACCCAGGGCCTTGCACACACTAGGCAAATACTCCACTATTGCGGTCCCCCACCCCTAATAATCTTTCTTTTTTTTTTTTTTAAAGCACAATCTTCCTATGTAGTTCAGTCTGACCTTATACTCACTATGTAATCCAGGCCAGCCTCAAACTCGTGGTGATCTTCCTGCCTCAATCTCCTAAGTGCTGGGATTACAGGTATATACCACCATACCTGGCCTCCTAATAAGCTTTTTAATACAGAAAAAGTTATATACAATGTTTTTAGCTCCCTTGTGCCTCTATAAGACAATCTTGCCCTCCTACATAACTACCACTCTATTTTTTTTTTAAAGAATAATGTTGGAAGTTGAACCCAGGGTCATGATCATGCCAGGCAAGTGCTCTACCACTGAGCCACTCCCACCCCAGCTAATTACCATTCACTTATTGCTGTACATTAGCTTGAACTTTATATAGATGGAACCACCCAATATATTCCCTTTCCCCCACAACCCATCCAGTACTAGAGATTGAACTTAGGACCTTAGGCATGTTAGGCAAGGGCTCTACCATCAAACTAATGCCTAGCCCTTTTCATTTGGAGATAGGATCTCACTAAATTGCCCAAGGTGGCCTCAGACAATCCTCAACTTACTAAGCAGTTGGGAGTTGTAAGTGTGTGCACCATGGCCAGCTCAATGTATTACTTTTTATAACTAGCTTCTTTCACTCATGTATGTTCATGAGGCTATTTCATGACTTAATATGTAGCAGGGGCCAGGTGTGGTGGCACACACTTGTAATCCCAACACTTCAGAATACTGAGACAGGAGGATTACCTCAAGTTTGAGACCAGCCTGAATTAAGAGAGATCCTGTCTCAAAAAACCAGAAAAAAAAAAAAAGGAACAGAGATTCACTATTTTTCATCATTGTGTATTTTGACATTACTTATCCATTCTAGGATTGGATAGAGGGATTTGCACAATTGTTTGCACTATGGATAAAAAACTATGAACATCTTTGTATACGACACTTGTTGGACCTAAGAACTCATTTCTGATGGAAGAATACACAGGAGAATTGTTGGTCACAGGGTAAACAGCTTCTTTTTATAATTTTTATTTTGCGACAAAACCTATGTAATTCAGACTGGGTCTGAACTCATTACATAGCTCAGGCTGGTATTGAACTCATGGCATTTCTCCTGCCTCAGCCTCCCATGTGCTGAAATTACAGGTGCACACCACCACACCTGGAATCATTCCCAGTTTTAGAAAATACTCCCTAAAAGTTTTCCAAAGTGATTGTACCACTTTAATTTACCCTATCACTAGCAGTGTGTCAGTCTCATGGGGATACAAAATGTTACTTGTTATTAAACTCTAACAAGCCCACTGTGGTGATATATGCTTGTAATCTCAGCACTCTGCAAGGCTGAGACCAGAGTATCATGAGTTCAAGCCCAGGATAAGCAATTTAGTGATTTAGTGAGATTACATCTCAAAATAAAATTAAATAAACAAGGGCTGAGAATGTAACTAAGTGCAAAGGCCCTGAGTTCAACCCCTAGTACTACAAAACGAACAAACAAACAAAAGGCCTCTAGTCAATGATTGCATGTAAATTAAATCATGGTGAATCTGTGCTTCGGAATCTGTTGTAGTCAGGGGTTAGGAGGAGAACAATTAGAATCAGAATACAAAATCTATATTATTCTATGATGGTCACCCAGAGTTAAACACGAGAAAGTGCAGGGAATGTGTCCACTACACTAAAGACCCAGAATATTGAGCCAGGGGCCTGTATCCCACACCAGTGTCCTGCATGAGCCCATGATAGTGCCTCCCATGAGTCCAACTGGAGGTCTAGAGCCCACAACAGGGACTCACACCAGTCTATTTTATGGATCTGTACTGGGAAGGTCCAAAGGTCAGCAGTAGAAGCTGGAAAGTCTATGCCAGAGAGTTGAAGGAGCTGTGCTGGTAGGTTGAGGGTTTTACATTGGAGCTGAGAAGTCATGATCAAAATAAGAACCAGGGCTGCCCTGAAGAGTACCATGGCCATCCTCAGGGACATGGAGGTCCCGAGCTCTTCCAATAATGAGAACAGTCAATTAAGTACCAGAAAGCCAGCATGACAAGCTTCTCCTGGAAATTAAATAGTGTACATTTTCCCCTCTGGAGCCAGGAAGCAATTTTCAGTGTAAGGGCAAAGCTCCCCCAGGATGAACCACAGCCATTCTCACCAATAAGGTCCCAAGCGCCTCTGATGATAACAGCTGGACTCATATTGGGGAAGTTAGTCATGACGAGCTCCTCCAGGAGAACCAACAGCTCGAAACAGCAACACTTAGAATCCACAACATCTAGCTTTTCTTCTCCACGTCTCTATTTATGCTGGCAACTTTCTATCTACAGGTGGCCATCTACACTCAGCACCATGCTGATTTAATTCAGCTAGTGTTAAGCTGACCATCAGTTTTTAATTCATAACAGAATCCTTGTTTCAAATTGTTTTCCTGTCAAGACCAAAAGAGGTTTGAAAGTATCAGAAAGAACTCAAAGACTGTGGGGCAGGAAGATGGCATCATAGGCCAGAAAGTTAAGAATTTAGAGTTGTTATTTTATTGGGAAACTTGGAGCCAGTTATCACATTGGGCCTCTCTAAAAATAAAGCAGACGATGTGAACATTTCCAACATTCCTTTCAGCACCAAAAGTCATGATTCCAACAAGAAAAATGAGGATGTTCTGAAGTTAAGTAAAAGGATACAAAGGTTACATTTTGCTACTTCAGAAAATATCACTGCCCAAAGGGAAGAGCTGAAGGAAAAAACACAATGTTTGTGTTGTTATATTGTGTTTTTACTTTGTTTTTAGTTATGTTTTTAATCTGTGGTCCATGTGAGTTCTAAAAAATTTTAAATATGAACATATATTTGATGTATCAACATAGCTTGGGGGGTTGGAAATATAGCTCAGCAGCACAGTGCCCGCCTGGCAACCACCAGGTTCTCTGTAGTTATGTGAGTTCAATACCCTGTACAAAAATAAACAAATAAAAAAAAAAAAATATATATATATATATATATATACTTTCACTGTTATGTTTATCTTTTTCTTCCTCTTTTCTTCTTTAAAATAAAAAATACTTGATATTAATATACTATATTAACATGATTATTTTCTATTTTTATTTATTAAGCTGATAAGAACGTATACCAGATGTGTCCTTAGCCAAAAGAATGAGCCACAATCTCTAGTTTATTTCCATATTTATATGAAACTCGAGGTTATATATTTTCTGAATACATCTTCCTCTTAATTTTTTTTTTTTTTTTTTTTGGTGGTGATGGTGGTACTGGGGATTGAACTCAAAGCCTTCATACTGAGATAACTCCACAGCCCTTTTTCACAATTTTAAAATTTTGATT